AACCACGTTAGCAGAAGCAGGCAGGCAGGCAGGCAGGCAGGAAATTTTCAGTGATGGAATTCAAATTTTTTTACTACTGGTTCTGTGGGCATGGCTTGGTGGGCATGGCAGGGGAAGGATACTGCAAAATCTCCATTCCCACCCCACTCCAAGGGAAGGATATTGCAAAATCCCCATTCCCACCCCACTCCTGGGGGAAGGATTTTGCAAAATCTCTATTCCCACCCCACTCTGGGGCCAGCCAGAGGTGGTATTTGCCAGTTCTCCGAACTGCTCAAAATTTCCGCTACTGGTTCTTCAGAACCTGTCACAGAACCTGCTGAATTTCACCCCTGGAAATTTTACTGACCAAGAGTCGAAATTTTCCCACATTTCTATTAAGACGTTGTGTTTACTAGACCAGTTGAAGGTTACCAAAGAGCATTCAGACTTTTGAATTTCCAAGCACTCTTTATCATACTTAAGGAAGAATCCTTGGAAACTTCCAACTTTGCATACCGTTCTAGTTAAAGTGGTAAGGGAGTGTATGTTCTGTGGCCAGCACAAGGAAAAGATCTCACCACAGCATTCCCTTTCAAGCCAGTGAAGAATTATGTCAAATGGTAAAGACTAACACATAAATTCCAAATGGAGATCTTTGTCAGATGTCTATGAAAGTGAATGCCAAAATGGTTGCTAGACTCAGCCATAGAGTTGCATGAAATGCTCATCCTAAACAATTTAAGTATATTCGGGGTTGCTCTTCTACCATTTCATCTCCCTTGTTTTACAACAATCCTTCTTCTCCCTCTCCTCTCTTTCCTTTTCCTCCCTTCTTCCATCTACTCTTCTACTTTCTTCTTTCCTCCTCTCCTTCTCCTTCTCTACTTCCTCTTCCTTTCCCCCACAGATTGTATTAGTATGAAAGTTAAAAGAAAATGTTAGATAAGAAACTGTACATTTAAGATATGTTTATGAGGGAAAAAAAATAAAAAACTTTTTCCAAAAAAAAGAGTTGCATGAAATGGTGCTTTGAAAAATTATTAATCTGATCGCTGTCATCTGGATCACTGCCAACAATTGTTTAATAAGTAAACACTGTAACTGCTGGGTGATTGAAGTTTTAATTGCCAAGCAATTAGCACTTGGTGATTTCAGTGTGTCTCGTGTGTTGATTTGCAATGTAGAAAGTTGTCACATGCCAGCAGGAACATAGGCACAGATGAAAGGGGTGTTGGAAGATATATGGGGGGGGGGCTCTGAAGACTGGGTCACAAATCTACGTTACCCTGTTACACTTACACATCTTACCAGAACTGGTCCGTGGCCATTGGGACCAAGCTGCACAAGTGACGGATGTGTACACAAAGCTCCATATGTCCCAGTGCGGTATTAAGTTGCACATATGAAACCATCCCTTTCCCTCTGCTGCCACTGTTGCTGCTGCTACCAGTCTGTGGAGCCACAAAGGTTGGGGACCACTGCTTTAAAGGACAAGGACAGGAATAGCCAACCAATACATTTGAATGGGAAAGTCACTAAATTTCAGCTTTGGAAATAGCTGGACTGTTTTTTCAATGCCCAAGCCTATGAAATGTTGCACATTCCTGGGCTGGAAAAAGATTGAATTATGTTGTAGGGAGCTATGTGCCCTGCCAGAGCTTGCTTGCTTGCTTGCTTGCTTGTTTTCTTTCTTTCTTTCTTTCTTTCTTTCTTTCTTTCTTTCTTTCTTTCTTTCTCTCTCTATCTACCTATCATTCATTTATTCATTCATTCATTCATTCATTCATTCATTCATTCATTCCAAAAATGTGTATGCCCAACCAACTCACAGAAACCCCAGATGGTTTACAGAAATAAAATCCCAAATACAAATCCAATATTCACCCTCCTGATCGGCACAATCAGACAAACCACTTCAAGTGTTCCATATCATTTGGGGGTCCCCAGACCCATTGGTTAAACCATGTCTTTAGGGCTTATCAAAGAGTGTCAAATTGGGGGGGGGGAGACTTATTTCTGTGGAGATGATGTTCCACAGGGAGGGAGCCAGCACAGAGAAGATCCTTCTCAGTGGTGAAATGTAAAATTTGTTACTACCAGTTCTGTGGGCGTAGCTTGTTGGGGGGGCTGCTGAACTGAGTCACCATAGACGGGAACGCAGCCCTCCCCCCCTCCCAGGGGCAATTTGGAAATTCATTTATTTTGAGATAGCATCGAAACCTGACAGAGACTGGGTGGGCGTGGCCAACTTTTTTTTTTTTAACTTTTAAAAGCATTTTTTCTACAACCTCTTTGGCCAACTCACTCAGAATTGCCTCGAACCATATATAAATGTAATAAATAAATAAATAAACCCAGAAGCAAATTGGCAACTAACGCAGGTCCCACAAGAGCTTAATTCAGGATACCCAGAAGAATCTAAAGAAATTAAAATTAAATTAAACTTATTGGAAGGACAAAGTCCTTTTGAGTTAAATTGAAAAATACAATGCTATCAGACTAATTAGCATATCTATTTAGGAACCTATTTAAGAACACAAAGTTCTTGACAACTTTAGCTCAGTTGAAGGAAGTTCTACTTCAGACAGCCCATCAAAATTTGAGAAGGATAAAGATAGTTACAAAAACTGAGTGTTGGATGCTGAAATTTCTGAGGACCTTTTAATCTGTATCCACAGTCCACTTTGTCCCCTCTGAAAATTCCCTTTCTTTCCTGAAAGATTGATCCTTTCTAAAATAACTAAGAGTAGAGTGAGAAAGGAGTTTGGTAACATCATGTTATCTAGTAAGAAGATACTGCTACAGTAGATGAATTCCCACTCTAGGTCTTTCTCTAGGCCACAGTGAAGATTTAGACCAGTGAACGTGCCATTATATAATGAACAATGTGTCAGATTGTAACTGGCTCATTATAGGAAGGATCAGCATTATTTTTATTATATATTTTACTTGTTGAAACAAGTGAAAAGTTGTTATGACTTTGCACAGTTCAAAGAGAATTCTAAAGTATTTTAGATAGAGATGCAAGCATTGCTGTTCATTAAGTTAGCCATGTCTCTCTCTCTCTCCCCCTCCCCATCTTTAGTAAGAATCATTAAACCATCACATTTTAAATATAACTTACTTCCAATGAAGCAGGAGTTCTTTTTTAAGACTTAACTGGAAGCCTGAATAAAGGATATATGTGCTTTAATGAATAGCAGAAAGTTTGTATACTCACATGAGATCCAATGCATTTCTTCCAATCATGTTTATGCATGCACACCCCTAAATCACTATGTCTATAGTATAATCTGGTGAATCTACTGTAAAATGTACTGTAAATTGTGGGTTTTAACTGTGTCAATTTAATGAATGGCTTCAGATCAGGGGAGAAATCCAGCAGGTTCTGGAGAACCGGTAGCGGAAATTTTGAGTAGTTCGGAGAACCAGCAAATACCACCTCTGGCTGGCCCCAGAGTGGGATGGGAATGGAGATTTTGCAGTATCCTTCCCCTGCCATGCCCACCAAGCCACGCCCACAGAACCGGTAGTAAAAAAAAATGGATTTCGCCACTGCTTCAGATCCATGACTACACATGGAATATCCTGTTCTCTGAAGAACAACATCAGAACTTTCCACAGCTCTATCAAGCCATTGCTAGCAAAAAACCAGTATAACGTAAACTTTAGAAGCGAGGGGGTTATGTTACTCCAATTAAGTCTTTATCAGAAGCAAACTCGCTCTATGAAGATCTACATTGCCCTACATTACCCTAGACCAGGGGTCAGCAACTTTAAACACTCAAAGAGCCATTTCGACCTGTTTCCCACAGAAAAGAAAACACCGGGAGCCACAAAACCCTTCTGACAGCTAAAATGAAGACAAAACTGCATATATCGCTTTTTACCTTTATGCTATGTATAAAAAAACTATAGTGTGTTGCATTTATAAAATCAAAGAACTGCTACAGAGTTTTATTTCTGCATGCAACAAAAACATTTTGAACTTCCCCCCCCCAAAAAAAGATGGGTCGAAAAGCTCAAGAAATCGCGTGCCAGCAGGCGTCACACACTGGCAGTTGTGACACATATTTTGAGTGACAGGGAGCCGCAGCAGAGGGATGAAAGAGCCACATGCAGCTCCCGAGCCGTGGGTTGCAGACCCCTGCCCTAGACATATCTAATATCACTTGAAGACATCAAAGAAATCAAGGCAGTTGTCCAAAGAATTATTTCCTTGTACTCAATATATAGAACTAGACTGCATCCATGCTTCTACTGTACTAGCCCATGATAGAAATTTGTCTAATCTCCTTTGAAAGCCAACTAAACTGATGGACAACTCCACTCCTTGGAGCGATAGATTCTACAGCTTGCTTATATGCTATATATAGATATAGTTCCTCTAATCTGTTAAAAGTCTTCAGTTCAGATTCAGTGGATTGCTTTGGTTCTAAGTGATAAGGGAGAGGAGAGGGTGTCAGCCGACGCAAGAATGAAACTGCAGGAAACTGGAAAAATAATTTTAAGAGACAGGCAATGCTGTAGCTTGAGCTAAGGGTAAGCAGAACCTGCGTGCTGGCTTTTAAAACACAACAAAAAATAAATACAGGGTCAAAATAGGGTGTGTGTGTGTCCCCAGTGATGGGATTCAGCCAGTTCGCACCAGTTCGGGAGAACCGGTTGTTAACTTTCTAAGCAATTTGGTGAACTGGTTGTTGGAAGAAATAATTAGGGCAGAGAACCGGTTGTTAAATTATTTGAATCCCACCACTGTGTCCCCCACCCACCCACCCTCTATGTTATGTTTTAAAAAGCACAGTAGTTCTACCAGGCAAAATGGGGAAGGAAGGAAGGAAGTTTACTAAACTGCATCCTGTATGTATGTATGTATGTATGTATGTATGTATGTATGTATGTATGTCATGGCATATCATACATGGACTAGCAATATATATTAACATTTCACCTAGGTTAATTAATTAATTGCATCCATTAACAGCTTCTTGTCTATTCTCTCTCCTTTCTTCCCTCAGCTATGTTTTTCCCATCTGCTCTCCGTGTGAAGAGGTCCTCAGCAGTTCTCCTCAACCCAGTGCTTCAGAAGTCTCAGGAAGATGTGGATCTTCTATTTGAGGTTTAGTATGAGGCAAAGTACAGTTCCAAATTCAGCCCTTTTCTGGGGAAGGGATTCTAGCAATGGGTCAAGAAGATGACACAACTTCATGGCAGCAAAAAAAAAAAAATCATGAGGAAAATCACAGATGCTGCAACCTTGTGAAGTCATTGTGCAGGTTTCTGATGTTATTCTAAAATGGTTTCAGGGATATGATATTTATTTTTATTTTATTTATTTGTCAAACACGTATAAGATAACAGATATAAGTATAAACATGATTATGAATACAGGATAAGGATACACGTAAATGGGGACAGTAGGATAGGGACAGTAGGCATGTTGGTGCTCTTATGCACCCCCCTTACAGACCTCTTAGGAATGGGGTGAGGTCAACAGTAGACAGTTAAAGACAGTCTAAGGTTAAAGTTTTGGGGGTTTGGGGAAGTAACCACAGAGTCAGGTAGTGTATTCCGGGCATTGACCACTCTGTTGCTGAAGTCGTATTTTCTGCAATCGAGATTGGAGCGGTTTACCTTAAGTTTGTATCTATTGTGTGCTCATGTATTATTGCGGTTGAAGGTGACTCATCTGAAGCAAAATCTTCACATCCCTCTTTATCCTGATTCCAGTGTTGTATTTAAAAAATAAAAATCAATAAATTAGATATCTGCTTTAGCCTTCGGTTATATTATCAAGGTGGCTTATTAAAAAAAAATCAATGAGCCGTATTCTATAATAATTATTAAAAATATCTTCATTCTGCATTCCAGATATGGTAAGCAAAGCAAGAAAGTAACACAATTTTATTTGTTAAGTATAATTTATTCTATTTTATTTATTCATTTCATGGTTTAGATCAGGGGTCTCCAACCTTGGCAACTTTAAGACTTGTGGACTTCAACTCCCAGAGTTCCTCAGTCAGCAAAGCTGGTTTAGATCATACCTATAATGTACATGTAATATACAGAATAAACTATTCTTAGTTAATGCAATTTGAACAATACATAAATGATTTTAACAAAATACCATGACATACATTAGTGAACAGTAAATATAACAATGATATCTAAAAGGTGATCAGGGGTTCAGGAAAATCTGCTGGAATAGATGAACCTGAAAGTCACTTGGAACAGGAAGAGAAAGAGCCCGCTTTCCCAATATTTAATTCTGCTTTTGTAAGTTTTAGGGAGTGCCACGTAGTTACCTAAGAAGTTGAGACCTTCCCTTTTGAAAAGTGAAATTTTCAATCTGGAATATCAGGCAAAGACAAAGAATCCATTGCCAGAGTAGTTAGTATAAATAGAACTGATTCAACAAAAAGCAGCATTCTAAATCAGCGGACTCCAACTCTATCTAATGGATGGTCTATGAAATATAGCTTCTATGTACATATATTTTCTTCATGGGAGAAAGCACTGCATGTGATGAGTCTCAAGGGTTTTCCAAAATGGTTCCATTGACTGCCAAGAGTCCAAGGAGTTGCTGTTATTATTTGTAGTACTATCAATTAAAGTAATCTTTATTCAATTATTTTCATGCAATAAATGTTTGGGTGTTGATGAAAATTCTGAAACTTCACAGAAAGGTCGATGAGTGTAGAGTTGGGGGATCCTTGCTCTATGTTAATCCAGACATCATTTTGGCATCTCATGTATTGATTTATTGGAACTTAACCAGAACCAGTTTAAAACTATTTTTTTCCCTGTGCTTTCATCCCAGTTTCTTCTAGGTGAACTGGAAATTGATGACGACCTAAAAATCACTGTCAAAGATGAGGAACTCGCTTCAACCAGGAAGGCGATAACGTTTGACACCCTGTGTAATGATGTTGTCCCAAAAAGTATTACAGAAATACGCAGATTAAGTTCCAGGCTGTCAGGTTACCCCGGCATGTTAAAGAAAGAAGATTTTGAAAGGACGGTATTGACGATGGTCTACACAGCATACAGGACAGCTCAGTCCCAAGGACATCAAAAAGACTCCTGGGCAGAATCCTTCATAAATCTTTACAAGCTTGTGATGCATGACTTGAAGTTGCTATCCAACCAAGCTCCAACTTCTCAAAGAACGTGATGCACCAGAAACAAACTCTGATTATAAGAAGGATATATCTGCTTCTTCATTTTGATAAGTAATAAAAGAAACAAACTGCAGGCTTGGAGATATTTCTTAATCTCTAGCTCCTCCTAGAGAGAATCTGTTGTAAAATCTTCTGCATTGCATTACAGATTGAATTAATATATCTGTTAAAAAAACATTTTCCAAATTATCTAGCCTTTTCTTTTTTAAGTGTAACCAATAGACGGCAAATCCTCTCTTGTTGTATATTTTTTATTTTATTTCCATCAGTGTCTTTCCCATGTCTGTATAGATTATAGCTGACACAAACTTTACCCCATCCTTTAAATGCAACAATTAATCTATGCTCCTTCTTGATGGACAAGGGGGACTCAGAAAACTTGCATTTTTTTTTCTGGACTCTTTTAAAAGCTGAGGGAAAAAATGCTGATCTCAATCCTTTTGGAAATTCCATCTTGCTATTACCTCTCCCCCCCACCCCCCAAAATACATTCTTTCTCCCCTCTTCTGTCAAGAAGCATTAGTTAAGAGTTGAAGCAATGGATTAATTTAAGAGAAAGGATATGACTAATCTCTCTCTCTCTCTCTCTCTCTCTCTCTCTCTCTCTCTCTCTCTCTCTCTCTCTCTCTCTCTTTCTCTCTCCCTCCCTCCCTCCGTCTCTCCCACCCTCCCCCTCCCCCTCTCTATCTCTTTCTTCCTCCTTCCTTCTCTCTTTGTTTCATTCTTTTTCTTCTCTTGGAGCTGATATATTAGTAGCAGCAGCACAGTGGAAACGAAGCTTAAGTAAACATTAAAAAGGTGATTTTTCCAAAGTTTGCTGCCACAGCATTGGGAAAGGTTTACTGTATAACCATATTCTGATTAAGATATTATTATCTCAGGTTTGTTTAAAAATGAACATCTGTTTGTTTTCATATTTCTTCAAAAACAATAACATGCTGGAGGTTTTTTTTCCTCTGGGGGAGCTGAGTACAGAATACACTGAAGAAAAAAATGTAGTATAAAATTGCAAAGTAGATTACTGCTACTTCCAGATACAAACTAGACTGTTTTGGGGAGGGGGTTTGGGGGGAGTCTTTCCTGCATTAGAAGTTCTGGTGTTGCTATTCTCCTTTTCTGAGAAAAAAGTCCCAACTAGACAATTTCCAACTTCCTACTGACTTCCCCATTGAATTTCCTTGTGGCAATCCGGCAGGAAGCATCAAAAATCTCTCCTTCCCTTCCCTCCCCTTCTGGCAGGTAGTGGCTGCTGCTGGCTAAGGGAAGGAGGGAGGTATTGCTAGACCAGCTAAAAATTTGTCATGGGACATTGAAAATGTAGCAACAGCAGCCAGTAGTACTAAAGTAACTATAATCTTCCCAAATTTCATTTCCTCAGGAGTCATGGATTCTGGATTTTGGAGGCATTCTGTAAGTTAGTTCGTTTGAAGCAGGGGTGAAATCCAGCAGGTTCTAACAGGTTCTGGAGAACCGGTAGTGGAAATTTTGAGTAGTTTGGAGAACCGGCAAATACCACCTCTGGCTGGTGCCAGAGTGGGTTGGGAATGGAGATTTTGCAATATCCTTCCCTTGCCACACCCACAGAACCGTTAGGGAAAAATTTTGAATTTCATCCATGGTTTGAAGTACCTTGGTTCAAAAAATTGGTGCCTGTTCTGTCCAGTTAAAGGTCATGACAATGAAAATTTTAGCAGTATATAGATACATCAATGATAAAAAAGCCTTGATAAGAGCTTGTCCAGCCTTGCAGAAAGATTCTCCTCATTTAAAATCAAGTCAGTAAAGGCCTTACTTCCAACTAAGTTACATAAAGGTTTGCAACCTCAATTAAACTGTGTTAGTTCTTGATTTAATTTTCTCTGCAATCTCAAATGAGAAATCAGAATGAGAATCATTCCAGACTGATAATCTGATCAATTCAACTATTTACGTTTAGTCTAATCTGTTCGGAAGATAAGAACGTAATTACTTTTACAATGAAAAAAAAAACCCCTGAGTTGTACTTCACTGTGATTAGAGATCAGATATTATTAAAAGAAAAAAAAAATCCATCTTCACAACTGGAACTTTTCTAAACAATTGTTTAAGGCTAATCCTACCATTAGGCAGGTGCTGAGGGTGGGATTGCCAATGAAGACAAAGCAGTTTGTATCTTGTATTTTATCTCTGATGTGTCATATGAACATCATCTAGTTATCGACGTTGATTTAAGATTGAATTCTTAGTCATGTGGAAGCCAAACAATAAAATAACTTGGGACAGCCCTGGTTTTCCATAAATTGTGGAGAGTCAGCTTTTATTTTCTTTTTAAAAAATCATTTGGAAGTTCTAGAGCTAATATTTATAAATATTTCCAAAACAATGCATCAAGCTGAGCCAGGATCTTGGTATGGTGTCAAGCCTAGCATTGACGCTATGTGGGCTCTCAGACATCTGCAAAACAATGATAGATCAAAGTCTCCACTGGCTGTGAAATGGCACTTTTCCCCCTCTGTGAATCTTGTGATTGAATAAGGCATGACTTGGGTCAGATTCCTGAGGAATTTCCTGTGTGGCTCATAGATTAGTCTGGAGTTTTTTCAGGTCCATCAAAGAACCAACTAATGGCAGTTGATCTGTTTGGCTGAGAAGGGGAAAAAGAAAAGAAACTCAAGATGTATTGCTACTGGACCAAAATCACTGTGGGATGACAAAAGTGACAATCTTTGGAAGTAGGAGGTATCTTTCCCCCATTGTGAAGATAGTTAAGGTAGAAACTTTCACTTGGATTGTTATGGTCCATCAAGACCATCCTTACTCCTGGTAACTACAAAAATAAGTCCTTGAAGTTTCTTGGTAAACATTTTCAGAAGCAACTTGCCAGTAATTTCTTCCTAGAGATGAGAACAAGTAACTAGACAAAACTCATCCAGTTGGCATCCATGTTAAAGGCAGGGCAAAGAGTCATAGTCTTCTAGCTTATAAGCAAGTGCCTTAGCCACTAAACCAAAATATCTTCCTTAGATCAAGTAGCTTTAAATTGGTTTTTCTCGGGATAGCCATTTACAGAGCTGTATAGGAAGAGGGACATGGTGGCTCAGTGGCTAAGACACCGAGCTTGTCGATTAGAAGATCGGTAGTTCAGCAGTTCGAATCCCTAATGCAGGGGTCAGCAACCTGTGGCTCCGGAGCCACATGTGGTTCTTTGGGCCCTTTGCTGTGGCTCCCTGTTGGGTGATCCCACCACTGGCTGGCCCCAGCCCTCGCCCTCCCCTCCCAGTCACTCCTCGCCTGGCCTGAAAAGGTAAGGGTGATGGCAGGGGATGGAGAAGTGGCCAGGGCAGAGACAGAGAGATACAGAGAGGGGGAGAGAGAGGAGGGAGGGAGGGAGGGGAGAGAGAGATATTTCAAAAGGATTTTGTGGTTCCTGGTATTTTTTAACAACTGGTTCTCTGCCCTAATGACCGGCTCGGTAGGCATGGCTAGGGGGTCATGTGACTGGTGGAAGTGAGTGACATCAAGTTGGCCATGCCCACCCAGGTTTTGTGGCTCCCGGTGTATTGTTTTCTGTGGGAAATGGGTCCAAATGGCTCTTTGAGTGCTTAAGGTTGCAAACCCCTGCTCTAATGCCACGTAACGGAGTGAGCTCTCGTTACTTGTCCCAGTACTTCTTCTGTTAGTTGTTCTGCCAACCTAGCAGTTCAAAAGCACATAAAAAATGAAAGTAGAAAAATAGGGACCACCTTTGGTGGGAAGGTAACAGCGCCCCATGTGCCTTTGGCAATTAGTCATTCCCGGCCACATGACCACGGAGACGTCTTTGGACAGCGCTGGCTCCTTGGCTTAGAAACAGAGATGAGCACTGCCCCTAGAGCCGGAAAAAACTAGCACACCTTTACCTTTATAGGAAGAGAAAAGTGACCATAAGGAACAGAAAGAAGAAGGAGACTATATGAGATACATTTAGTATAACAGCCCTATTTTCATTAATGTTCTTTGTAAGAATATTGTTCCAATGCTGTGCGCAGTTATAAGAGTACCCCAACCACTAGTTACTGGCATTTACAAAGGCTCCTGTCACAAAACCATATATTCTGACTGGGTCTTGGCAAGCTACATAATATTCTTTACTGTAGAAGTAAAATCATCTGTTCATCCATGCAAATTGTTTCAGGGATCTGTCTAATAATATGAAGTAAGATAAAGCCTTAGTGGCAGAGACGTTAAGTAATGGCAGCTTTATAGAGGAGCCTCAGCATTCTCCAATTTATCTTAGAGGCGAAGGTGAGGTGAAGATTCTTCAAAGTTTATGAGGCAGCCTCACTGGAACAGAAATTGTCAGTGGTTGTCAATAGTCAGAATAAGGGAAGGTAGTGAGGGAGAAGGAGTTATCTAATTTTCTTCCAAGATATAAGAAAGATTTAAAAAGTCCTTACGTGCAAACAGGGAGTCACGGTTGAAGAGATACTTAGAAGAGTTGTACAACTTGCAACCATTTGTTTAGTGATCAGTTGAAGTTATGATGGCACTGAAAAAAAGTGACTGATGGACAATCCTCACACTTGCAACCATCGCAGTGTCCCTGGGGTTATGACCTTTCCAGCTGGCTTCCAGATTCATTTAATGACCATGTAATTAATAACTGGGATGATTCATTTAACAATCATGGCAAAAAGTCATAAAATTGGTGATGACTCACTTAACAACTGCCTTGTTTAGCAATGGAAGGTTCTGTATCAATTGCGATCATAAGTTGAGGACTTGTATTGGAATCTCTCCCTTCTCATTTTTCCAGTGGGACCAATCGAAGCTAAATGAGATGACAATTTGATCTTATTCCCTCATGCTGTAATGAAGCATTTTATGACTAATGAAGAATCAGAGGACTTTTTGATCCTTTAGCATACCTCAACTTATTGAAATGTCCCAATCAAGAATATTATAGTACTGGAGGTGCCAAAATTGTTTGACCAACCCCATTTTTCCATTTAAGATCAACTTCAAAATCTCATGAAGAAAGATGACAGTATATGTCCCAAAGGTGCTTTTTCAAGAGGCAACTGGACTTTCTGGTTTTTCTTTGAAGACGTTTCACTTCTCATCCAAGAAGCTTCTTCAACTCTGACTGGATGGTGGGGAATGGAAGGATTTATACTCCTTGCAGACAGCTGGTCATTTGCATTCTTTTAGTGAGCTGTTAAGGCCACCTGGAGATTTATCTGTGTCATCAGGTCACCTGAGTGGTGCAAATGGGTGCTGAGCCTTTTTATGGAACTGTTGAAAGGATTGTGTTGTAGATTGAAGATAGATGGTGTCATATCCCTCTCCCTCTGTTGAGAGAGGCTGTTCAGTTTTGACAAAGATGGCCTCTTTAACTCCTCTTTCAAACCAGCGGTGTGGATTTTGCTGTCTTCAAAAGAGTGGCCTTTGTCTTTTAAATGCAGATGGACTTCTGAATCTAGCCCTGATATGTTTGTTCTCCTATGTTATGCCGTGCACTTATGAAGTGGTTGTTTTGTTTCAACATCATCTATCTCCAATCTACAACACAGTCCTTTCAACAGTTCCAAAAGAAGGCAAACGACCAGCTGTCTGCAAGGAGTATAAATCCTTCCATTCCCCACCGTCCAGTCAGAGCTGAAAAAGCTTCTTGGATGAGAAGCGAAATGTCTTCAAAGAAAAAGCACCTTTGGGACAACCATGACCTGGATGATTGAGAATTTCCATAGACAATGTTAAGGATAGTGGTGTTGTGTTACCAACCAGCAGAGCGTAGCGCACAGAGAAACGTTGCTGAGAGCAATGAATAAGAGTTATGCAAACTGGTTTATCAAAAGCTTACTTTATAGTAGAAAAACAGTCTCATAGTCTTTAAACAAATTCCAAGTCTTTGCCAGTAAATCAGTCCAGTAGTTACAGATATCTTCTTACCAAACAGACATTAGTTGGTTAGAATAACAAACTCACTCTGGTTCACAAACCACGATGGTAGCAGATCCATCAAACGATGATTACAGATAGCAATTCCTCTCAATGGTAGCATATCATACTCTGGTAGCATATCATATCAGCTTCATCATCAAACTGAATACGTTACAGTACCTTGCTTAAATACTCTCACAACCAGTTATTACCTAATTACAGCATGACTCAGCATTACAATGTACAATGTAATGTACAGCATTACAACTTTAAAGTAACATAATACATTTACAGATTAAAGTTACAGTACACATATATTGCCTGGACAACTAGTTAGGCTCAAACCATATCCTAACAGACTTGGCAGTATATGCTAGATATGCACAGTGTAATTGTTAATTAATAAGGTAATTGTAACTTCTCTCACATGAAAACTATATCTGCATAACTAACCCCTCTTCTCCTCCCTTCTTCCCCTTCCATCTCACTCCAGTTTAAGTCCTGTGATTGTCTACCCATTCTATGCATCTGATCGAGTGAGTTGCTGCTCACAAAAGCTTATACTTTTAAATAAAATGTGTTTGTTAGTCAGGAAAAGTGATACCATATCAAGATGTATAATTAGAGACCCAGTGCTGAGGCTAGTAATACATTACATAACTGAGTCTTACTGATGAGAAACCAGGAAAGATAGAACAAAAACTTTATTTATAAAACTAGGTTGGATCCTATTTATTGCTGAAGCAGCTGTTCTATTACCCTGAATGTACTGTGACCTCCACAGTTAAGCAGGTTATGCTTTACCTAGGGAGGAAGGCAATGGAATCTTCTGAGTAGATTCAGCCCTTATTGTTGGGACAAACTAACTACCCACCAATAGCTTCAGAATTTCTTTTTCTTTCTTTCTTTCCTTCCTACCTCCCTTCCTTCCTTCTTTTCTTCCTTCCTTTCTTTCTTCCTTGCTACCTCCCCTGTCTCACTCACTCACTCACTCACTCCCTTCCTTCTTTCCTTCCTTTCCTTCCTTTCTTTCTTCCTTCCTTTCTTTCTTCCTTGCTACCTCCCTGTCTCACTCACTCACTCACTCACTCCCTTCCTTCTTTCCTTCCTTCCTTCCTTCCTTCCTTCCTTCCTTCCTTCCTTCCTTCCTTTCTTTCTTTCTTTCTTTCTTCCTTGCTACCTCCCCTGTCTCACTCATTCACTCACTCACTCACTGCCTTCCTTCTTTCCTTCCTTCCTTCCTTTCTTTCTTCCTTCCTTTCTGTCTTCCTTGCTACCTCCCCTGTCTCACTCACTCACTCACTCACTCACTCACTCCCTTCCTTCCTTCCTTCCTTCCTTCCTTCCTTCCTTCCTTCCTTCCTTCCTTTCTTCCTTG